CTCCTCCAGGGCTCCAACGAGATCGAGATCCGGGCCGAGGGCAACAGCCGCTTCACCTACAGCGTCACCTACGACGGTTGCACGGTGAGTCCCCGGCCCCTGTCTGGGCTCTGGCTTTCCTGGCAGGCCGTTCTTGCCCTCACCCCACCGCTCCCGCCCGGTGACACCCCTCTCCCGTTGTCTCCCAGAGTCACACCGGAGCCTGGGGCAAGACAGTGATCGAATACAAAACCACCAAGACCTCCCGCTTGCCCATCATCGATGTGGCACCATTGGACGTTGGCGCCCCAGACCAGGAATTCGGCATGGATGTTGGCCCTGTCTGCTTCTTGTAAACTCCCTCCCACCCTACCCGGCTCCCTCCCACCCAACCCCCTCACCCCTGACCCTGGAAACAGACAAACAGCCCAAACTGAACCCCCCAAAAAGCCAAAAAATGGGAGACAATTTCACATGGACTTTGGAAAATATTTTTTTCCTTTGCATTCATCTCTCAAACTTAGTTTTTATCTTTGACCAACTGAACATGACCAAAAACCAAAAGCGCATTCAACCTTACCAAAAAAAAAAAAAAAAAAAAAAAAAATAAATAACTTTTTAAAAAAAGGAAGCTTGGTCCACTTGCTTGAAGACCCATATGGGGGTAAGTCCTTTTCTGCCCGTTGGGCTTATGATACCCCAACACTGCCCTTTCTGCTCCTTTCTCCATCCCTCCTTGGGGCCTCCCCTCCACTGCTCCCCAAATCTAAGTCTCCCCAAAAGGCACAGGAAACAATGCATTGTCTGCCCAGCAACCAAAGGCAATGCTAAAACGCCCAAGTGACCCCCACACTCCCAGCCCACTCCCTTCACCCAGCACCCCCAGACCCTGGGGGGACCTGAGGTTCTCAGACTGCCAAAGAAGCCTCACCATCTGGCATCCCTGTGGCTCCTGCAACAATCCCCTCTTCGTTTCCGAGGGGGCATGCTGGGGGACCACGGGCCCCTCGCTGCCTGCCGGGTTTGCTGGAAAGTCAGGAGGGGCCACGACAGAGCGGAAGGAAGCATCGGATCATTCGGGGACACGTGTCAGTCCCCCCGTGCGACAGGGCTGGGTGGGAGAGACTGCTCTGCTCCTTGTGTAATTGTGTTGCTGAAGGACTACCTCTTCTTGTCTCCGTGTGTCACTGGGGCAACTGCGTGGGGGTGGGGGTGGGGGCAGGGCGGAAGAGGCTCCCCATTTTATATCAAAGGTGCTACATCTCTGTGATGGGGTGGGGTGGGGAAGGAATGACTGGTGCTATAGAAGTTGGGGCACCCCACGCCCCAGGCCAGCAAATGTTCCTTTTTGTTCAAAGTCTTTTTTTTATTCTTTGGTTTTTTTTTTTTGTTTTGTTTTGTTTTGTTTTTCCTTGCGGATGGGGACTCGTGAATTTTCTAAAGGTGCTACTTAACTTGGGGGGAGAGAGTGTCGCAGCTCAGTGCTCCCTTCCACCCCCTCTCCGCCCCCCCCCCCCCCTCTCTCCCCCTCTCTCTCTCTGAAACCCGCTCCTCAGCTGCACCCCATCCTCCCGGCCTCTCTGCCCTGTGTTCTCTCTCTGGGTTTCAGAGCACAACTTCCCAAAGCACAAAGCAGTTTTTCCCCCTAGGGGTGGGAGGAAGCAAGACTCTGTACCTATTTTGTATGTGTATAATAATTTGAGATGTTTTTAATTATTTTGATTGCTGGAATAAAGCATGTGGAAATGACCCAAACATATCTGCAGTGGCCTCCTGATTTCCTGCCTTGGAGTCTGGGGCGTGCGGGGTGGGGAGCCGGGGGTGGGCGCTTTGGCTGGGGGCGGGCGGGTTCTCCTGTTCTTGCCCCTTCCCTCCTCCTCCTCTTCATCTAGCACCCTCCACAGCGGCTCCCCCTTCCTTTTGCCTTTCTTATGCCTTAACCCTTCCCCCCTCCCTCATGCAGCCTTCCTGGCATATCTCCCAAATGCCCTTCTTCCTCACAGTGCCACACAGACCACCCCCACGGGCGGCAACACGCACGTGCACACAAGCCTCGCTTCAGATCCTGGGCTGCCCAGACCTCAGGCCCACTCTCCATCAACACCATCAGCTCCGCTCTCCGAGGCTGCGGGCACCCTGCAGGGTTGGGGGGCCGGGGCACGGGGCTGGGGGGGGACATCGGGAGGCCGGCCCATGGCTGAGGGAGGTGGGACAGGCGAGGACCACCCGGGAGCCCCTCAGCAAGGCCTCTCCCTGGGCATACACGGAGGATCGCCTGGCATCTCCTCTCTCTTCGCTCACTCTGAGCTCCCCCAAAGGAGCAACAAACAGAACACCTGAGGGTCCCTCCCTCAGGGTCCCTCCCTGAGTCTGCCTGGAGCCACGGAAGGAGGGAGGGAGCCGGCCTGCCCTCAGAGGAGCCTCCCCAGGGCTCTCGGAGAACTTCAGTCAAGGCCCTTAACAGGGTGCTGTCCTGCTGGCAACAGGCCTTGACCCTGCTGGGCAGGTACCAGGTCCCTCTTGGCCTTCTAAGTCCCCATAACACCTGGGTGCCGGGTGGCCTAGCAGGTCCGTTGGCCCAGCCTCTGCCTCCTGCCCAGGCCTGATCCTTTTTAAAAAATTCTTGCTTCCTCTGCCTCCTTCTCCTCCCTCCCTTGCCTTCTCCCTTCCCCTCTGCCTGCTCCTACCCCCGCCTACCTGAGAACCGGAGGCCCCTACCCCCGCCTACCTGAGAACCGGAGGCCCCTGGAGGGACGGTGACTGGCCAGCTCCCTAATCTCAGGGAAGGGGAGCAGCTGTGAGCAGTCACTGGGGCCACAGAGGTTTCCAGAAGCCTGGAGCAGACCAGACCCCCAGAGACCTGGAGACAGGGAGAAGTTGAAGCTGTGCCCCCCACCCACCCACCCAAGGTCTCGGGGCCTAAACATTCAAGGCAGGAAAGGCGCCCCCACCCCGTCCCTCCCTCAGATCTCGGGGAAACGGGGTGGAAGAGGCCATCGGCAGCGACGCTAACTCCGTTGCTGTCAACAAGTGGCCATGACGGTTAATTGTGCTTCAATAATTCATCATTAGCTCTTCTACCACAATCTGGACAGTGTAGAAAGGGAATTAGTCTCGAGTGATTAAGAAATTATGACACATAAATGAGGGTTTCATCGTAGGCGAACTACCCGACCTGTGTGGTGATGGATGGGTGATGCCTCGGTAACCCCCATCGACCCCAGCCTCCAGCAGGCCCCCCCCGCCCCCAGGGGGCAACCAAGGCTCTACTTGGCTGCTACCCACATGTCCCTTCTCACTGTCCCTTCCCTTGCCCACACCTATCACACCAGCCAGAAAAGGTGACCACAATTCTCATGTATGCACCCCACTCTCCACATCCAGGCCTTTCTTTATGCCTCTTCCTCTGCCTGAGCTGACAGCCCTCACCTCTGCCTGCTCAGCCCCCCACACTCCAGGCCACATGTCCCCTCATTCCCCTGCCGCTTTCCACGTTTTCCACTGTTATGTTCTCCAGGCCCAGCGGGGCTGACTGAGGCCAGAGGCCAGGCGTGCCATCCAGGGCTGGGCACAGAGCCCTGCTTAGAGACTGGGGAAACTAAAGCGAGAGCGTGAGGTGGCAAGGGGGGCTTCCTAGGCCGTTGTGTACAGGAGCGAGAGGAGGAGCAATGAAAACCAGCCCCCATGGGGGGGCAGACCGCAGTGGAAGGCCCCAGGCCAGTGCTTCCTGCACCCTCGCGGCACACTCTCTCGGGGGTCCAGCAGCGTAGCCACTAGCCACACGTGGCTCGTGGCTCGGGAGCACTTGACATGTGGGTAGTGCCATGGAGGAACGCAACTTTAAATTGTATCTAACTGTAATTAATTTTAATAGCTGCAAGCGGCTAGTGGCCACCGTGTAGGGCATCTCTAGACAAATGAGTGAATATGCCTCTTACTAGGTATGCACAAATCCACACACGGGGGCATGAATGTATGCGTGCGTGTGTGCACACGCCCGTGGGAGGGCACATGAGGTGACACCGTGTGGCAGGGCTGTGCTGTGGTGCGAGGCCAGAATGCGGTTTCAGTGTGTGTGCAGGCCGGAGGGGAGGGCGACAAAGGGGCCATTGTACCACATCCCCGACTCAAGCCCTCCTCTCTGCTGACATCACGGCGGCCCTAAATAGAGCTTCCCAGACCCGCTCCCCCAGACCCCGGCTGCCCCCCGCGTCGTGGCACAGCACCGGCTGCTCCTGCCGAGGCTCCACGGGACTCACCTTTGTCTTCTCTGTGAGGAGATGGACCACATTCCTAGGGCGGATTTCTCAGTCAACTTCAGATGGAAAATTCTAGAAAGGAAGGAGGCTTCGTTTGGATTTTTTTTTTATTGTTGCTGCTCTCTCAGAATCCTGGGTCCCTTTTGTGGGGGGAGCCCATCTCCTGGCAGGATTTTGTCCTGACTGAAACATGGCGGATGTCCCCTCCTCTTTGGGGTCAGCTCTTTACCCCCAGCTGCCTCGGTGCCTCCAAGACTTTCCTGGATGGACATGGGTGAGGGTGAGGAGGGGAGAGGTTGTTGGGGGGGCCGCCTAGCTGGAGTGTGGGAGCCTCAGGTGAGGGGGACAAGCGGAGTCGTGTGTAGGGCAGGAGAGGAAGTGTGGGGCTGCTCTCAAAACCAGGAGCCACAGGGGAAGGCTGCTCGGGGGCTGTGAGTGTGGGAGGCTGTGTCAGTGGGTGAGGTGGGTAAGAATGTGTCTGCCCACCCATAAACAAACGTGGCTATGTTCAAAGGGGCCCCACACGCGGGCGGGTATGTGGGGGAAGGGTCGGGGTGGGGGCGTCTGTGTATGTGAGGACTGCTTCCCCACACACACGGGGGCAGAAGAGATGCTGTGTGAACTGAGAAGGTAAGGGTCTAGCAGTAGGGTCGTGTGTGTGCATAGGCGCGACAGAGGGCATAGGAGGGCCTGCAGGTAAATGGGGGCAGCTGATCAGGGAGGATGTGGGGGAAAAACCAGGAGAGGCTGGGTGTGGGGAGAGACCACCGTCCTAAAGTGTCAGGGCCCGTGGAGCCCTAGCGCTGGTGAGCGCGTGTCTCTGTCCCCTTCCTGCTGTGCGCTCCAGAGGGTTCCAGGTACAGCTGAGAGATGTCCACGGACCAGGGGGCAAGACCTGGGGAGAAGGATGGCCCTGGTCTAGCAGGGTAATCAGACCCTTCTGCACACGGAGCCTTCAAGGCCTTTGCAGAGCACATGCACAGCAAGCCCAGGAGGGAGGTGAGTGTGGCGCCTGCAGGTGCCAGCGGGCGAGTAGGGTTTTCTCGGCCTCGGCAGGAGGCCATGGGAGGAAGTGGAGGATGGGCCGGATGACACATTTCAGAACAGAGGCCACATATTCACACTCTAGGTGACTTCACTGCTGTGGGGCAGACCCCTGCCCCCCGCAACTCCTCCAGCCATCGGAAAATTCATGCATGCACAGAGGTCTGGTACAAGCCGGTGTTCTGGAGAGGGAGCGAGGAAAGGGGCCGAGTTCTGGGTTTGGGTCAGTCTGGAGTGGAGATAAAGGAAGAGCCGTGAAACCAGCACTGCCCAGTAAAAATAGTATGCGAGCCACAGATGTAATTTTTCATTTCAGCCACATTAAGGCAATAAAAAGAGACAGATGAAGTTAATTTTAATAACGTGTTTTATTTGACCCAATATACCTCAGAATATCACTTCACTGGCCAGCAGACCAGCACCAGGAAGCACGGGAACTTCAGCCTCCACCCCAGACTTAGAAGGAGAGCGTGAGCCTTCACAGGGCATAGAACGTAAACGGAGCTCATTTAAGCTGGACCTCAGGGGGCAGGGGGACCCCACGGGCCTCTGGTTTGGCCTTGCTCACGCGAGGGTTCATGTGTAATAATGTCTCCTTTCTTGGGAGCTGCCAGACGCTGGGCACTCGCCTGGGGCTCCCAAATCCTCCCAACAGCCCCCAGGCAGTTATGATTAATGTCTTATGAGTAAAGGAACTGTCAGAGCTGCGATTCGAGTCCTGCTCACTCAGCCCAAATCCCAACAAACCCACCCTATAAATGGTGTGTGTGTGTGTGTGTGTGTGTGTGTGTGTGAAGAATTGGGGAGACACAGGCCCTGTGGGGACTGAAGCCAGCTGTAGGTAGGGTCCTGTGTTCCCCTCGGGCAGACATCCTCCTCCCGGACTGAGAGCTCCTGAGGGAAGGTGGAGAGTCAGGCCACGGTGGGGCCCTGTTTAGGGTGAAGGTGGAGGCCCCTGGCTCTCGGGGCAGTGCTGGCCGTGGGACTGGAGGAGCCGAGGGTGGCGCAGGGCATGAGGCTGCATCTCAGGGTGGAGGGGACTCGGGGGCCACAGGGGCTGGTTTCCCGTGGCTGTGGAGGGTTGGGCGTGACTGCTGTGGGAGCTCGCCCCCCAGCGAGGAGAGACGTGCTGAGTCCGGCCGTGCCCTTCCCACGTGCTGCCAGGGCGCTTGGGTGTGCGCGTGTGTGTGCCCAGGCTTGGTGTCCTCCGCAGTCACGCCATCCTCCCAGCTACTTGTCTGGGCCACTTCCTCCCAGGCCAGCAGCCAGGCTCCCGTGTGCTCCTCAGAGCCAAGATCTGAAGGCAAAGCCGTGCCCCAGAGGGAAGCAAGGGGCTGGCTGGGAACGCTCCCAGCCCTGGCTGCCCCGGGCAGGAGCGCAGAGACCCGGAGAGGGCAGCCCCCTCCTCAAGGGGACAGGGATGGAGGAGGGGCACCCCGGAGAGCAGGCTGGCGGCTCAGAGCCTCCAGCCAAGGCAGACTCTGCGCAAGTCCAGGTTTCGGCCAGATGAGGAGCCTCGAGGCAAAGGAGGAAATGAAGAGACAGAGACACTGTCTTGTCAGAGGACTCGTGTGGGTGGGGGGTGGCCACCCCTACAGGCACTCGGTCAAAAACTACTGAGCACCTCCCCTGTGCCAGCACTGAGCCTCTGCCCGCCTCTGGAGATGCTTATGGGATAACTAACTAACTAACTAACGGGGATGGGAAGCCCAGCAGGCAGGGCAACCCCAACATAATGGCAGACGCACTAGCAATGGCCTTGCCCACCCCCTTCGCTCAGAGAGGAAGAGCAACTTCCTTAAGCTTCCTGAGCACACCCAGACCCGAGCATCAGAGCCACCTTCCTGAGCACCTACTGTGCTCAGGCGCTGCCCCCATCTGCAGAGGGCCCCCGGAAACCTGCCCTCCTGGAGCTTCTATCTAGGGTGGGAAGCCAGCCTGGAACAGGGCATGGGGGTGGGTGCAGGGTGCCCTGGAAGCAGGGGGCCGGAGGGGGCTCTCTGAGGAACTGCCACTTGGACAAAGACCAAAACTACGGCAGTTGGGGGGTGGGGTGGATGGGGGCGGGGGTTGGGGGATCCTGGCAGCGGGAAGGGCAGGGGCAAAGGCCCTAAGGCAGGAGCGGGTTATGAGACGGTATGGCTGCAGTGGCCATGTGAAGAGTAGGAAGGAGGTCAGAGGGCTGGGCATGGCCAGCACGCCCAGTCAAGAGCATGGATCTTACCCTCTGTGACCAGAAGGCATTGGAGGGTCAAGAGCAGGGGGGTGTGATGCCCGATCTTTCTTCTGAAAGGATGGGCCCCGGCTCCTGCTGGAGCTGAGACTGGAGAGGCAGAAGGGACAGGGTGCCACCGGGAGGCTGTTGCAGGGGCCTAGGAGCCAGATCCTCGTGCTGCACCGGGAAGGTCAGAGTGGAGGCCGTGAGAAGTGGATGGATTCAGGCCATACTTGAAGGTGGGGGTTCCGGGGAATGAGAGAAAGGGGAGGGGTCCAAGCGGACACTCGCCAAGCCCTTGCCTGTACATTTCTGAACACGTGGAAGCAGTATTCAGAAACTTAGCCATCCTCAGAGGCCCTTGGCCTAGGAGGCGCCACCATGAGACTGGGGGCTGCCCTCCCCATCAGCCCCAAGCCTGGGCCCCTGTCTCCAGGTAAGGGGAAAAATTCCATGTGCAGCCCCCCATCTCCACCGCCCACCGCCCCCTGGGGGGAGGGAGAGGGATGGTTGAGAGTCAGCCCCAGGACCGTGGGTGGATCCCAGGCCTGGTGGGTCAAACTCAAAAAGCGATTTTGAGGTCACCACGAAGGATGGCTTGTCCTTGTTTGGATTTTCTTGGAGTTGCCACCCAGATCTAGAGGCCTGAAGCCTAGGCCATAAATCCCAGCTCCTCTGCCATCCCTCCTTTATCTGGGTCCCCTCCCGGGCCTGATCTCTGGCTTGGCCTCCCAAGGCAATGGTCAGATGTGAGACTGGGTGTGGCTCAGGACGGCAGTGGGCAGGGGCCCAGCTGGTCTGGTGTGGTTGTAGCCACCTGGGAGCAACAAGCGCGGGCCTCTTCCTAGCCTGCTGAGCTCTCCAGAGCCAAGCTGGTGACATTCATCCCAAACAAGGGTGCCAGGTCGTGCTGTGTCCCCTGACCTCCGCCTGGCCCCTGGGGAAGCCCACCAGTAAGGGGTCATGGAGTCAAGGCATTCAGGGTTCCCTACCCCAACCCCTCTCTCCATATACAGACTGGACTCCCGCACAGCATGAGTTACAAAGGGGCTCTTCCTCTAGGGGATCCGGACAGATAAGAGCCTGGACCTCTTGCTTCCAGAACCCTTCAGCCCTCCAGAAGGCAGCATGGAGGTAGACATACCAGGTTCTAATCCAAACTCTGCCACTCGCTTGCTCTGTGACCTTGGGTAAGTTGCTTACTCTCCTTGGGCCTCAGTTTCCTCCTTTGTAAAGTGGGGATGAGGAGCCAGTAATACCTCACTGTCAGGTTCTGTCCGAGGATTAAGACGAGGGCTGCAGATAGAAGGTCCTTCCCTCTTTCTTCCAGAGAAGTTGAGAAAACAGCAAAATGCCAAGAGTCCAAAGGGCAGGCTGGCAGCCCCTGGCTGCCTCCAAGGGCTCCCGGAGGCAGAAAGGGAAACTGAGGCAGCGAGTGCTGGTGGGAGGCTGCTGAGAAGAAGGAGCTGACAGCCACAGGTGAGCAGAGTGGCATCTATTTATTCTGGGGGTCCTGACCCCAGACATCCTCACCTCCCCCACTGCCATCTCTCTGCTTGTTCTCAGCCTGGGGGCCGTCAGGCCAGGGCCCAGGATCCTGAGGAAGGATGTGGCCATGGGCTAGCTGCTCTGCGCGTGGCGGGAGGAGGAGGCCGGGTCTGGGACTGGAACAGCAGAGGGAGGGCGTGAGGGGCTGTGATGCCCAGGTCCTGGTCCTCCTGCCTCCCCAGCCCAGCCCTCTGACCCTGAGTGTTGGGCCCTGGGGGGCATAGCCCCGGCCCTGCCAAGCAACCCCCACGGCTGCCTCAGAGGAGCAGGTGGGGCTGTGTGCCCCTTCCCTTGACCTCCCCCTCCCCAACATCTGCCCCAGCCTCAAGCCAGAAGCCACCTTGTTCCCAGAAATGAGGCTGGCACCGCCCGGCAGGCCCACCTGGCTGTTGCCCTCAGTGCTGGTCCAGGATGAGGGGCACCTGGGCACTGTCCACTTGCGGAGGCAGCCGCTCGCCCGTGCGCACGTTGAACATGGGCAGCGTGGACAGTGGCCGGGGCACCTCCCGGCTGGATGCCATCTGCCGCAGCTCCTCTGTGTTCCCGCGGATGGTGCAATGGTGGACCATCTGGATGCTGGGGGCACAGAGCCGGCAGAGTCGTCAGTTCTGGGAGTCAACCCCCACCCCCCGCCCAGGCCCAGGGAGGCCTCGCCTCTGAGGCACCCTGCAGTCCTCCCCACTTGCTATGTAGGGAGACACTCACACACATGACGCGTGGGGGGAGGACAAACAGGAAGGTCTTTGGTGCCGGCTCAGTGTCCAGTGACGGAGGCATAGGCTGTGGGTATAGACAGCCTGGATTCAAAGCTGTGTGTCCCTGGCAAGGTACTGAACCACTCTGTGCCTCAGTGTCCTCAACTGTAAAATGGGCATAATACTAGAACCTACCTCCTAGCACGGTGGTGGGAATTAAATGAGAAAAATGTTTAGAAAAGTGCTTGGCGCATGCTAAGAACTCCCGCGATACTCGGCATGAATAGATACCCACAGTGGATCCATATTTCTAGAGGCCAGCATTTGCTGGGCTTTATATTCCGATGACCCTCTAGGTCCCTTCTAGCACTCAGTTCCCTCCCCTCATACTCTCTCCTACCATTGACCATCCAGTCCTCCCTGTCTCATCCCGGTCTTAGTCTGGTAAATGTCCCCTCCTCCATCTCTTCCCACCTCCTACTTTGGCTCCTGCTGTTTCCAGCCAGACCTCCAGGGTCCCATCTTCCCGCTCCTCCCAGCTAGCCTCCCTGGCCTTTGTACCTGGACCTCTCCCACCCTGCCCCAGGACTAGCTCTGGACACTGAGTCTTCGCTCTCTGGCTTTATTCCAGACCACAGCTCCCTGAGGCCAGCCCCTGGCTCCGCCCTCAGTGGGCCTGAAATCCCCAGGGCAGTCAGGAAGTCCTTTCTGAGTTCTAGTCTTTCTAGAAGAAGATTTTCTTCTTTGTTCTCAGAAAGCCGAGCGGCATTCTCATTTGAGATCCTCACGAGCTTGCTTTCTGCTGTCGGGGGCAAGCTTCAGTTCATTCTGGGAAGTCGGGTAGCACAGTGTAACCAAGCATGAGGACTTGCTTTGGGTTTGAATGTGAGTTCTGCTACTTACTGCCTATGTGACCTTACGCAAGTCACTTCACTTCTCTGTGCCACTATTTCCTCAATCACAATGCAGTTTTTGTACAAATTAAATGAGTTAATATACAGGAAATACTTCGATGTCTCCTGGTCAGCCTCACAGCAAGTGGTAGCTAATATTACAGGGAGCCTGATGTGGCTATCATCATCATCAGTGTTATTTTATTATAGTAGGTTCACTGATGTACCTGGCCTCCAGTAACGGGATGCCCCTTTACATGAACCTACCCACATTTGTGAGTCCAGCCTGGAGATATTTTCCCAGACTACCTGGTTGCCAGGTGAGACAGATAGCAGGGACTCTTCATTACAAACAATAAGAATTAGTTTCCTTGGGGGGGGCGCCTGGGTGGCTCAGTTGGTTAAGCGACTGCCTTCAGCTCAGGTCATGGTCCTGGAGTCCCGGGATCGAGTCCCACATCGGGCTCCCTGCTCCACGGGGAGTCTGCTTCTCCCTCTGACCCTCCCCTCTCTCATGCTCTCTCTCTCTCTCTCTCATTCTCACTCTCTCTCTCTCTCAAATAAGTAAATAAAAATCTTAAAAAAAAAGAATTAGTTTCCTTGGGACAGCTGGGTGGCTCATTCGGTTGAGCATCTGACTCTTGATTTCTGCTCAGGTCATCATCTCAGGGTCCTGAGATTGAGCCCCGAGTGGGGCTCCACGCTCAGCCAGTCTGCTTCTCTCCCTCTTCCTCTGCCCCCACTCCCGACCAACTCTCAAAACAAATAAAGTCTTAAAAAAGAAAAGAGGGCGCCTGGGTGACTCAGTTGGTTAAGTGTGTGACTTCAGCTCAGGTCATGATCCCAGGGTCCTGGGATCGAGTCCCACATCATGCTCCCAGCTCAGTGGGGAGTCTGCTTCTCCCTCTCCGGCTGCCCCTCCCCCTGCTTGTGCTCTCTCTCTCGCTCTCTTTCTCTCTCAAATAAATAAATAAAGTCTTTAAAAAAAAGATTTCATTTCCTTAAAGGGGTGGGGGCCCGAGGCAGGGTATACCCTACTTGACTCTGGGTTACTGATCAAATGGGGGAGGGGCAATGATCCCCACCCCTGTCCAAGTCTCAGTTAGTGGACACCAACACCAGCTAGAGCCTGAGAGATTAGATGACAGGTCAGACTTTCTAGCTTCCTGCTGAATGGGCCACACTCCTTGGTGGCAGGGAGAGCAGGACCAGGTCCTGTCTGGTGGACGGGAGGAGGTGGAGTCAGCCTCTAAGGCCAGGGGAGGATCAAGATGAGCTCTTGAGTCTGGAATTTGGCAAGCAGAGTTGTCCAAAACACAATTTTCCATTCCCAGGCAAGCGGAGGCTGAGGGAGAAAGGAAGCAAGAAGCATGTGGATGTTTAGGGCCAGAGGCAGCCAGGCAGGTAATGCCCTGGCAGGGGAAGGCCCCCTCCCCGCCCCCAGCCCCGCATCTGGGTCTCATTGCTCTGGCGACACACACAGGTGGAAAATATTCTGAGGATGTTTTTCCAGAGCAGGAGCAGAAGGAGCAGAAGCCAGCCCCGCTGCTGCCTTCCCCTACAGCCCTTCCACATCAGCACCTGGGCAGACGAATGAATAGGCAGGCATTCCTACACACACACACACACACACACACACACACACACACACACACACAAACAAACACTCTCTCTCTCTCTCTCTCTCTCTCTCTCTATCTATCTATCTCTCTCTCTCTCTCCACCACCAACACACAGCCCTGGAGCCCTGTCTCTGACACACAGACTACAGAAGAGGGTCAGGCTGGAGGACCTTCTGACCAGCAAACTCTGATACAGGCAGCAGAACCACAATTTGTGGATAATTTGAAAAATGGTAGACATTGAACAAGAAAAAAAAATGGAATCTGTAGAAATAAGTCCATTCAAAATCCAAACCAACAAGGGCTAATATGTCACACGGTAAGCCTGGTGATTGATTCAACATTGATGGAGGAAGCACATTTTCCTGAGAGCTCCCAAGCTCCAAAACTGAGCCAGCAGAACGGGCCGTGCTCAAAATCACTGGTCAGAAGAAAATTTCCACAATGGCAGAAGGTATAATTGATCAAATTTGGCACAGGCCAAAAAAATTGAGGAATGAAATGTTCCTTGAAAAACTGACATGGAAAATCATTCATCCCAATGGGAAAAAAATTCTATCAAATAAAAATGAAAATAGGGAAAAAAAAAAAAAAAGGAAAGCAGAGCCTTTCCATTGCTTTGTGATCAAAGTTGACCCAGGAATCAAATCGACCTGGGCAGAGCAAGGAATTACAGTTTTGTTCACTGTGGAAAATACTTTCCCCATAACAATTCAGAAATGTGGGTATTATTCTGATGCTAAAAATATTTGTATTCCTCAGCCCAATGGGTTGAGATAGTGGGGTCAAAATGGTGGGTTTAAAACTGGGGTCTCAGGGGGCACCTGGGTGGCTCAGTTGGTTAAGTGTCCGACCCTCGACTTCAGCTCAGGTCATGAGCTTGGGGTCCTGAGATGGAGCCCCATGTCACACTCCACACTCAGTGCAGAGTTAGCTTGTCCCTCTCTCTCCCCTCTCCCCCCGCCACCGCTTGCTCTCATTCTCTCTCTCTCTCTCTCTCAAATAAATAAATAAGTAAAATCTTTTTAAAAAAACTGGGGTCTTAGAACACCCTGAAATCAGCTGGTTCAGGTGCATAGGTTTCTAAACACAAGTGCACACGCATGAACACACCACGTGAGTCCACCCATCCACCCACACAGCCTCAGCCTTTCTTCCTGGGGTACCTGGCTTGTCAAATGCCCACACTATCTGGCAACTCCCGTCTGCATCTCCCGGGAGGGAACAATGGGACCACTGTGACCCTCACAGGATTCTGGTGGCCTCACAATGTCCCCCTGAGGTCATCAGAGAGGTAACCTTGCCACCCCCTGCCCCTGAGGCACAAGTCGGCTGAGGCCAGCCGTGGGTGATCATCCTTGGTCCTACTTTTGGCCACCCAGGGGGAGGCTGGGGCTGGAGCTCTCTGAGGAAGCCTCTGAGGGAACCAGGACCAGAGACTCGCCTCACCCACCGAAGAGCAACCCAGTGGAGACTTCCAGCCGCCACCCTGGAGGTCCCTGCACCTAGTTCCCTTCAACCGCCCCAGGGAGAGATGCAGAAAGACACTTTGGCGCCTCCCCCACCTGCACCCTTGGCCTCGAACACTGCCCAGGGTGAAGGCAGGCAGGCCAGCACCTCTGGGGCCCCTAGCAAGAATGAGACTGGGCGCCACGCCAGCCCCAAAACCCGCCGGAAGCCCAGCATATCCAAGGTGATCCTGGGGGTTGTGACGGACAAGGGCATGCACAACTGCGTGAGTCTAGCCACCCTGAAGAAGGCGGTCACCGCCATGGGCTACGACATGACCTGGAACGCCTGGCGCTTCAAGCGAGTGCTCAAGGGGCTGGTGGACAAGGGCGTTCTCAAGCAGGTGACCGGCAAGGGGGCCTTGGGCTCCTTCCGCATGGGCAAGAAGTTTGCCTCCAAGTTCAAGCTCAGGGACCAGAGACAGCGCCAGTCGGGGCAGCGCCGGCCTGGGAAGCGGCGGCCTGGGCAGCGCCGGCCTGGGGAGCGCCGGCCTGGGCAGCGCCGGCCTGGGCAGCGCCGGTCTGGGCAGCGCCGGCCTGGGCAACGCCGGCCTGGGAAGCGCCGACTGCTAGTGGGCTCCCAAAGGGGGCACAAGCAGCTACGCAAGGAGGTTCGCAGGGTGGCCAAATGCCGCCGCAATTAACAAGGCAGGCCAGGCAAGCAGGCAAGGGTGCCAGGCCCGCCACAGGCTCAGTGCAGTGGGAATAAAAGGAGCCTAACTTATTTCACACCTGCCTCCTGGAATCTTTGGAGCTCAGGGGAGTGGGAGTGGAAGGAAGCTGGGGACAGAGGAGGAGTAAGGCTGTTGGGGGCGGGAAGCTGAGTTCCCAAAGTAAGAGTGAGATGGATTTGGGGAAAGGGCTGAAGGAATTGAAAGCATCCACAGACATTAGCTAGTTCAATGACCCCGTCATCTGAAACCAGGGCCAGAGAGCGTCATGCAGATTGTGTAGCAGAAGCCAGGCTGGAGCCATACCTAATGTCAGACTCAGGGAGGTGTATGTGTGTGCGTGTGTGTGCACGCGTGTGTGCGCGCGTGTGTGCACGCGTGTGTGCACACAGCCTCTTAAGTGGCTTCTCGAACCCTTTCCCCCAGGGTGGCCACAGGCCCCCACACCTGGCCGGGTCCGCTCCTGTGCCCCATCCCAGGTTAGAGTCCTCCACGGAGACGCAGAAAACGAGAAGGCCGGGCCAGGAGAGGTCAGACCCAGCAACCAGCCAGCCCAGACCTGGAGCTCAGAGGCCAGGCGTGGCCCCCATCAGCTCAGAGTAATCTGGCTTGTCTGTGCTGCTCATGGAGGTTAGGGAGGGGGGGTCTAGCTTGGCAGTCTAGGGGTGCTCCCACCCAGCCCCCCAGCTTTCCCCTACTCACTCTGAGGTGGCCAGGTCTCTCTTCAGCCTGTGGAAAATCGAGGGAGGGGGTTAGCTATTATCCACACCCCTCCCTCCTGGTGCCAGGCGAGGCAAGAAGTCCCCACCCCCTCCCTGGCTGAGGACCCCGCTCCCTGAGGAGTCTGTGTCCCCAGGCAGCACAGCGCCCCAAGGAGCCCCGTGGGGGTGAGCAACAGTGCCCTCCCTGCCCTCTGTCCCCCACACTCACCGTCCCTCCCGCCGGCAGCACATGACGTAGGCCAGCCCCAGAGTGAGCAGGAGAGCCACCAGCAGGGGCACCAGGAGGGTGACCAGCGCGTCGGTGAGGAAGTCTCGGGCTGCGGCCTCAGTAGGTGGGCAGAAGAACGGGTCATGCTCCAGGATCCCATCACCTGGGGTGGGCACCTCATCTGCGGGCTCTGGCACTGACTTATCCACCTGCTCAGAGAGCCCAGGGCTCACTGAGGAGCCGTTGGCTGGACACAGAGACTCCCTCGGGGGACGGGGCAGGGGTGCCCCATACAACCACAGGGTTTTCTCCTGCCTGTCTCCCCCAGCTTGGGTGACGTCTCAGGACAAGCACTGGACTAGGAACCCAGACAGAAGGACGAGGAGAGGCAGGTCCATACAATGGTTAAAGGCACACCTCTAGGGCCTGACTGCCTGGGTTTGAATCCTGATCCAGACAAGTGCTGTGCTGGATGACTTCCCTCCAGGTGCCTCCTTTCCCTCACCTGGAAAGTCAGAACGCTAATAGTGGTCCCTGTTTCTGGGGTGGTGGTGAGGGTAAAGCATGTTGATTGGCTAGAGCCTAGCAACACGCACGGCAAGTGCTCGAGGATGTTGTTGATGATCAGTCCCTGGCTGCACTGTTGGTCAATTCACAGGAACAGAGAACTCCAGGGGTTCCCAACCTGGGGAGTCAGGGTCTCTAGGGACCCCAGATAATTGTGCTCAACATCCCAAAGAGGAGTAGTGAGCATCTTTGGTTTATAACTTGGAGTTGAGAGGTATCTGTTCCTTATTGCAGGCAGATTTGCTAGGTGACACCTTAGAAGGAAGCAGAGCTGTCCCAAAGAGTCCCCTGGCGGGGAAAGGGTTTTTAGAACTGCCCTATTGGAGTGATTGTTCTAGCTGTTGGGTTGGGCACATCAAGGACTTCTGGACCCCAGGATCCCTTTTCTGGACTATGGACTCTGTCGCCCTCTTGTGGGAGGAGATGGAACTTCAGAGCGAGCGCGCACACGCGCGCTCGCCACCCTGGCCATAATCAAAGAAACAGGATGGGGTGGGAATAGGGCTAGGGAGGAGACTGTGATGGGGGTCATGCCCCATCCCCACCCCCGGATCCAGGGTCCCTCCTCACCAGGGACACATTGCACCAGTCAACGCGGAAATGAGGTGCCAAGGTGTCATAGCAGGACAGAAGTGGAGGCTGACCCTGGGCACAGCGAGCATGGCTGTCGGGAGATGCCACCATCTTCAGGCAGGTGGAGAAGGGTGAGGCAGAGCCCACCTTGATGTAAACCCTGGGCCCAGATAGAAGCCACCGTTAACATATTGGGGGGGGCACTGGGCACTGGGCACTGGAGATTTGGGGTTGCAGGACCATCTTGAGACCTGGAGACCACACAGAGCACCCCAGTCTTCCTGGTGGCCTTATACTCCCAGGAATGTCTTTTGATAGCTGGATCTTTTATGTCCTCATGGGGCATCAGGGAGTATAGAGTTCAGGGTAACTAGGGTTTGGGCCCAGGAAGGGCAAGAAGATGAAGGGGTGGCTGGAGGGAAGTGGACGGTGATGTGAGAGATACACATGGTATGAAGGTGCACAAAGGTGCTCCATGCCCGCCCACCCCCCAAGAAGGCCAGCTGCCGCCACCTCCTCCAGGAAGCCCTCTGGGGTTGCACACTTACCCTTCCTTGCGACCCTCAATGGGAAGGGGGACGCGGCCCCCACGGTCCAAGGCGGAGGTAATGTTGAGTAGCTGGAGCTCTCCCGGCTCCCAGAGCGCTCCCAAGGCTGTGAGGAAGTGACTGGCAGGCGTTGAGGGCAGCACCTCCTCCACATCATGGCTGCACACCAGGAATTCAGCTTGGTATGGCAGCAGGGGGCCTGGAAATGCCAGGTTGGCACTTGAGGCTCCACACCGAGTCCTGCACGGATCTTTCCCAAGCCTCCACCGCCTCAAGCTCCTCCCCATGCCCCCTCGGACTCCTTCCTTCCTCCCTAACTTCCCATCCCTCACAGGCCCCAAATGCCCTTCCCACAGCCTCAACAACTTCCCAAGGCCCCAGAGACTGTCGGCAGAATGGCCAAGAATACAGCTCTAGAGCCCGTCCAGGACGCCCTGCTCCCACTACTCCCAAGTGTCCCCTTCACATCCCCTCCCTCCTTCCAAGAGAAACCCCCAAGACCGGAGTTGGGGGAGGGTGGAGGTGGGGAAGGGTTGGGCGGGGCTGACGGTACCTTCTGGGTCCCCAATCAACAGCACCAGCCTCTGCCAGGTGGTGTCAAAGCTGTCCCGATTGTAGGCTGTGACCTGGGGTGGGGGGGATGCAGAAGAGAGCGGAGGGGTAGGGCGAGGGGAGAAACATGGAGGGGACTGAGACACCCTCCAATCAGAAGCATCTAAATTATGTAAATGAGCATGCACGAACGCCCACACGGGACACAGCCACGGGGGTCCCTGCTGGTACCTCGATGACCTGGCGCCCACGATCTTCGGGGGTGGGGGTGCCATAGAGGAAGCCAGGCTGGTGGGGGCTGCGCTGGGTGTAGCGGAGCCACTGAGGCAGGTCTGGGTGTCCCCGGAGGTGGGCGTGGTAGGTGACAGGGGTCGTGGGGGGCACATCTGGTGGAAGGGAGGACAGGGGATTGGAGAAATGACAGGAGGCTCCACCGGCCCCTGGCCAGGCACCGCCAGCCCGCCGATGGCCTTTAGGCCCCTCTCACCGACATGCTCGGGGTGACGCAGGGCTGCTTCCCGGTCCAGGGTGTGCACAAAGACGCGGCCCACAAGAGGCTGTAGGGTGGTCTGCTGGGCCTCAGCGTCCCCCAGCCCTGCCAAGAGACCTGTGGGGACCCCACAACCCCCAAAACACATGCATCAGCCTTAGTCCTGGGCCGGGGAGAAGCTCCTGGTGCCCCTAAGAGAGAGGAGAAGTTGTGGGGGGCTCCCAGGAAAGGACAGGTGGAGGGGTCCTCGCTGTGCCATGCGAACTTAGATCAGTGACAAGTCCCAGACCTTTGCTGGGTTTGGATTCATGGGAACCCCCTCCCCCAGTCCTCATTTTCGGCTCCCTTTGAGGGGTCACCCGGGGCAGGGACTGCTGTCTGGCTGAGAAGGGCGTGGGGTGTGCGGGGGTGGATGCGTGTTATGGGCACTTGTAAAACAGAACCCTTAAGAATGCGGTGTTAGGGGCGCCTGGGAGGCTCAGTCGGTTCAGCACCTGACTCTTGACTTCAGTTCAGGTCATGGTCTCAGGGTCTTGAGATCGAGCCCCGGTCGGGTTCTGCCACTCTGGGCATGGAGCTTGCTTAGGATTCTCTCTCTTTCTCTCCCTCTGCACCTCCCCACCCCCAAGGGCACACTCAGTCGCTCTCCCTGCTTTCTCTCTCTCAAAATAAATAAATAAATAAATAAAAACAAATTTTAAAAAAGAATGCTGAGTGTCTGGGAAGCTTGGAGGGGAGGGGGAGAGTGAGGGAGGAGGTGAGTAGCCATTCTGGGACTCCCTCCCAACTCCCTTAATACACAGGGGGAAAGGGGCCCACAGTAGAAGCCAATAAAAGCTGAGCAAATGGGATCCTGAGCCCCAGGGAAAGGACCTGCCCCAGCGGGCCCCCACACCCTCCCAAGGCCAAATTTAGCCTGGGCCTAGAAAGAAGGCAGACCAGCCAGCCCATTAAAGGGCCAACGACACTCCGGGCCTGTGCTGTCAGGCCCACCTCGGCCTAGGACACCCCACCCTTCAGAGCTCCCCGTCCCCCACATCCCAGAGCCCCACTCCCAGCCCCATTTCCCTGGACCTCCCCCTGGTTACAGCATGAACACCCCAAAGTCCTTCTGGGCCCTGGGCCCAGACCCCTCCCCTGAGGGACCTCTGTCTGTCCACCTCTGCACCCGTAAATCCCGTCCCTTCGTCCTGGGCCTCTCCCAGAAGAAGGCCCCAACTTGCCCACAAGAAGAATCCAGATTAGAGCTGCGGCCATGGCTGCCCCAGCCTGCCCGGCCCCTGTGAGTGACAGAGACAGGAGCAGGGGGGAGGAGAGAGGGAGGGAGGGATGACGGGGGAGGTGTCCCAGAGCAGCTGACCCCAGCTTCTGCCAGTGGGTCCCTCCCCATCCCCACCCAGAGCAGGCACTGAATCCGGTGTGAACACTCTCCTCACATGACCAGGTCCCTCCAGCGATCCCCTCCCAGTGCCAGAGAATGTTCTCTAAACCACCAACCTGACCACCTCAGTCCCCCCTGAAAACACTAAGGGCTCGCCTTGCCCTGAGTCCCCAGCTGTTGATGGTTTTCTGGACCTGGCCATCGTGTCCAGAATCCTCTCCTCTCACCCCTGCCAACCACACACACACACACACACACACACACACACACACACACACACACACACTACCCCAGGCTTCTCTGCCCAGCCTCACTCTGCTGCCCACCCCCCACCCAAATGACATGCTCACTAAGTCCTTTGCATAAGCTGTTCCCTCTGCTTGGGGTTCCCTTCCCGCTCTCATCCCACCAGCCACTTGGCACTCACCTGGCAAGACTCAACACAGGCCTCCTCTCCTCCCCGTGGGCTTTCTGTGCTGCCTTCCTCTGCTAGGCCGAGCTGGGTGCCCGCTTGGCCCCTGTGCACAGCACTGCAGGGCGGGGCGTCTAGAATCTTACTATCTTCCTGTCCCCCGGACCTGGCACAGGGCCCAGCAACCTGCAGGTGTAGGGGGGCCTGGGCGACAGCCTCCTTAATGGCACACAGAACAGCCGGGTGCCCATTCACCCAGCCCTGATCCCCAGAGCAGGCACCCCCAGTATGTACCCCAGGTCTGGGAAGAGAGCGGGCCCCGGACAGGACCAACCAGGGAGAGCCAGGGGAGTGGAGGGGCTGCAAGCCGGCCCGACACGAATCCCACCTTGACCCCTCGCTGGACACGCGGCCTTGAAAAACTCAACGGCCCTGCCTCGGCTCTGTTCCCACAACTACAACCTGGCAGGATAGTGCTCACCTCTCGATGTGCTTGTGACGAACCACAGCCTCATGAACTCAGCGCGAGCTTGCAGGCTACCCCCTGTGTGCCGGTCCCAGAGGAAGCGGAGAGGGACAGACACCTGCCCCACAGAGCTTGCACGTGGGCGGGTACTGCCAGCAACCCCCCCCTCTCCCCGCCACCGTGTGCCGGGCTTTCCGTTCACGGACGCAGGGGGACTCCTTCCGTCCCTGCAGTTCCCAGGAGTGCTTTCATCCCCATTTTCAGATGAGAAGAGTGAGGCACCAGTGCTTTGTGATCCCCCCTCCCCCCCAAGGCCATACTACCTACCACCCAGCTGAGGCCCGTGCCTTGCTGCCGGGGCACCCGCCCCCTCCTTCTTGCCTCAGTCAAGGATCTGGGTCCAGGTGTGAAGGGGGTGGGATGCCCTTCTCTTTGGGGGCTTCTCACTCAGAGCAGGCAGAGGGGACTCTCCTTAGATGTCCTGAGGAGGAGGCAGGGACCCGCAGGTGCCAGGGTTCCAAATTCCTGGTGTGTGCGTGAGCATCCCTCCTGGGCATCGCCACCTCCCTGCCGTACCCAGCACCCCAAACATGGACGCCTGGGACCCGCTCTGGTCGGGCCTGAGGGGCACAATGTCGGCCTGCCAACTGGAATGACCAGTGGCAGTTTACTTAGTCCTCACCTTTTTTTCTCTCTCCCTGCCTGACCGTCCCTCCCTGGAGAGCCACCAGATTCCAGAGTCAGCATCCACTCAGGCTCTCAGACAGGGCAGGGTTTGTCCCAGAATCACCTCGGCGCCTCTCCGCCTTCTCAGAGATGGAGATGGAGGGCTTGAGGGAGGAAAGTTCTGGAGGCAGAGGGAGAGTCAGAGGGCGCTGAGGGAGCAGGCAGAGCTGCCCGATTCTGGCCCGCTGCCCAGGCCTCAGCCCCTCGGAGGCTCCATGTGACTCCCCTGCTCTTCTTTGGAGCTCCCCCTCACACCCTCAGCTGTCTTAAGGTAGCAGTGCCCAAACCCAGTGCCACCAGGCCCCCAGAGGCGAGTCTCCTAATGGATCCTTCTCCCTCTCCCCTCAACCAGGGACTGTGCCAGAAGCCAGCCAGAAGTCCCCTGGAAGTCCCCTGTGGCCGACCAGAGGATCTCTCCACCTCAGAGCTGTCTGGATTGCAAGCTGCTGCTAGGATGCTCAGCATCTCTGTTCGTTGGGGCCTGGGCATAGAGAGTGGGTTCACAGGTCCTTAAACTTCTTAGTTGGCAAATTTAATTTTATTTTAAGTGGACCCCACAGCCCAATGAGGGGCTTGAACTCGACCCTGAGATCAAGACCTGAGCTGAGATCGAGAGTCAGACGTTTAACTGACTGAGCCACCCAGGTGCCCCTTAGTTTGCAAATTTTAAACAAAACCAAAGTCTACAGAATAAAAGAATGAAATCTCCATATATCCATCCCCCAGGTTCAACAGTCAGCAACTTCTGGCCAATCTCCTGTCACCTGTACACGCCCCCCCCAACTTTCCCTCCTGTTTCATTTCCTCTGTCAATATTTTAGCATATATCTTTGAAAGATGATGACTCTTCTATTTTTATTATTTTTAATAGAATGACTCTTTTTTAAACAATGACAATTGTTACACCTAGTCCATTAATATACCTTAAAGTTAATAATAATTCCTTAATATCAGACCTAGAGTGTTCAGATTTCCAATTTCTCATAAACGTCTTTTTTTTTAAGTGTATTTGTTTGAATCAGGATCCAAATAAGGCACACACACTGCAACTGATTGATGCGTCTCCTTTAAATCCATAGGTTCCGCATCCAAACTTCTCTCTCTCTCTCTCTCTCTCTCTGTCTTTTTCCTTGAGAGAACCAGGCCATTTGCTGTGCAGTTTTCCAGTCTGGGTTTTGCTGATTGCATCTATAGGGTGTTCTTTAACACATCTCTCTGACCTCTGTACTTCCTGTAAATTGTATTTCCTGTACATTGTTATTTCCTGTAAATTGTAGTTGGATTGAAAGTCCTGATCAGTTGTACGTTCTATTTTCTTTGGCAAGACCACTTCACAGATGGTGGTATTGCTTCTTCCATCCAGAAGCACAGCAACCGCGATGATCTGTACCTCATCCATCAGTCCCCCCCCTCCACACACAAATGGTGACACTTACATCCAATCATTCCTTCCTTTATTAGCCAGAGTAATTCTCGACACAGAAACTGCCCCTCACTTACTGTTTGGTTACTGAGTGTTGTAGCTCATATAGGAAAGATAGGATAAATACTTGCTTCTCTTCCTGTATTTGCCAATTTCTAAATAATGAGTTGATTCTCTAACAACCCTCAAACTTCAGCCTGTTAGCTTTTCAAAAAACGGTAGAATAATTATGAATTTATGGCTTTAAGCATATTTGATTGCTTTGGTCCATTGTGACTAGTGTCCCTCCTGGTCCTCAAGCTGTCCCTTCTTGAGCTCCCGAGGCAGCTCTCACCAGTCAGAGCATCCGTCTCTGGGGACAGGTGTGTCAGGTCTCTGCCTCTCCACACCTGTCTCCCCAGCTTTCTGCCGGATTTCCGCCTGTCAGTGTCCCGATTTAATTCCTCTGGTCCTTTGTCCCTGGCTCTCCCCACTCAGTGAATATCTGCTGAATGAATGAATGGTTGATCGAATGAATGCATCATCTCCCCAACTCTCTCCTTCCACTTCTGTCTTATGAACCTCCTGATTTCTGAGGGCCATATTTTCTTCATCTGCATCTACAACGGGGGATTATATGTTGTCATGAGGGACAAAGGAAAGGGATTCTCATCACGGTGATCTGATTGTCGCATCTGCCTCCCAGACTCCACCCCCATCCTCCCCCCCTTCGCTGCCCCCAGCGCCTCAACAAAGGATGCGATCTGTCAGTCAGCCACGAGAGGGCGCGTTCGCGGCTGCAGCCTGGACCTGCGCCTGCGCAATATTGGGGCGGGGCGGGGGGGACGAGGCGTGGGGGGGGGTTGGGTGGAGGGGCGGGAGCGCTCCGCCCCGGGTTGGGCTTGCGCGTCAGAAGTGTTTGCTGAGCACTGTAGCTAGAGGGGGCGACGCAGGAGGAGGCCCACGGCCCCGAGTCTTACTTCGTCCTACCCTTCCGGGTCCAGAGGATGTCCTACCAAGCGGGGAGGAGAACCCTCCTGGAGGCGGGGGGCTGGACACAATGCCCTCCTTCCCACCATCCCCATCATTTGTATCAACCCTCCGACTTCCAAGGACATGTTCCTATTTTCCCACCCCCCACGACGTTTGGGGGCACGAATCTGAGGACCTACGTGTACCCAGATTCCTCCTCCCTTTTTTTTTTTATCTTTGGCCTTCAGCGCTCAAAGAGGTTCCTTGAGCCTTGTGACCGCCCAGAGCAATCAATCATGAGTCTGAGAATACCAGAGACCATCCCTGGCCAAACTTTCTAGCTTACAGGAGAAACAGAGAAGGGGAGGGACTGTGAGAGGGCTCCCGGCACAGTAGTTTGCCCAGCTAGATCTCTGGACATGGAGAAGAGACACTCCGTCTATGTAAAGTGGGGGTAATAAGGATCCATGAGGTAATGAAAACAAAAGGGCTTTGTAAACTGTAAAGCCCCGGAGAGAGTAAGGGGTCTTTTATTTATTTAGAACTGAAGGTGCAAGACCAGGGCTAAGCCACTGCCACAGCCTGAGAGCTGGGAGAAGTCCGATTTAGAAGCCACAGCTCAGTGATAGGAGGATTAGGAAAATAAAAGAAACAAAATCTCTGACAATTTTTTGCAGATGGTATGATTATTTACATAGACAATCCAAGACATTCTACAGGCATGCTATTAGGGCTGTTAAGGGAGATCGGCCAGGTTGCTGGACAAAACTTAGTATCCAAATACAAATAAAATACAAAATCCAGCAGTGTTTCTATACACTAACAATAAGTTATTAGAAACTGTAATATCTTTTTAAAAATACATCATTAACAAAAACATTAAAATTGTACAGAACCC